TGATGCCAGTACCCATACTGGTTATTTTCTCCTCTGCCTAGTGCCCAGACGGAGGAGGTGGAGCTGACCAGTGAAAGTGTCAACAGGGACTGTGAGAGAGTCGGACCGGACTGCTTTGAGCTTCTTACTGTGCTGGGAAAAGGAGCTTATGGCAAAGTATGTGTCTGTGTGTGTGTGTGTGTGTGTGTGTGTGCGCACATGTGACACTTCTTTAAGTAGCATGTTTCTTCAGCACAGACTTTTGGTTTTATGTATTTGTTCTTGATAACAGTAGATCAGAGTTTTGCTGGTCCCTGTTACCTTTTATTACCTCTCTATACATTACTAGGCAGTCTAATCTGTGATCATACTCAACCAAATCTTCAAAAGGTTTCCCCCAATCGGGGTTGTTTAATAAAAATGGCGCTCCGTTATTCACCACAGTGGGTCGCTGCCCCATCCTTGATTTTTTCAGATTTGATTTTTAAAACGTCCCACCTGATGCAACCACAGTCGTACAGCATCCTGCTGCTTTTCTCTCTCTGCAGGTTTTCCAAGTGAGGAAGGTTCAAGGGGCTCAGACGGGGAGAATTTTTGCCATGAAGGTCCTGAAAAAGGTACGTGGACGGATCCTGGATGCTGTTTGTCCTTCCTCACATTGCACACTTTTCATTTTTTAGTTTGTCTCTGTCGTTGTTATATCAAGCCCCGTTCCACTCTTTGTCTCCTACAGGCAAAGATAGTGTGCAACGCTAAAGACACGGCCCATACGCGAGCAGAGCGAGAGATCCTGGAGACGGTGAGGCACCCGTTCATCGTAGATCTGCTGTACGCCTTCCAGACTGGAGGAAAACTCTACCTCATCCTGGAGTGTCTGAGCGGTAAGGTGGAGGCAACATCCAGCTGTGGGGCAACACATCTTTACCCCGACTTACCCGTCAGGTCCTTTTGTCAAAGGCATTTTACAGATTGGAGACACGATATGCATGTAGAAATATTCCTAACCTGCACCCAAAATACATGTCAAACAAAATCTATGTGACTGAAAATCCAGCCTCTGATATTTGTTATCATAGCGCTGTTCTGACATTACGTGAACTCTGTCTCATCCATGTGTTCTGCTGTTTATCCTCAGGAGGAGAGTTGTTCATGCAGCTGGAGAAGGAAGGCATCTTCATGGAGGACACTGCCTGGTATGTGCGTTTTGTTAATGATGCTGAAAACAGTTCACTGTTTAAGTAATGTTTAATTAAAATGTTGTGTATGCTTAGCTTCTATCTCGGAGAGATCACTCTGGCCCTCGGTCACCTCCACTCTAACGGGATTATTTATCGGGACCTGAAACCTGAAAACATCATGCTCAATCACCAAGGTGAGAGCACGAGTTTGCCTGAGAATGCACAAAATGCAGAAAAATGTAGAAATGTGGGGCACAGATTTCTTGGAGCTGCTGTTAGTACAATAACTGCACAGCAGTCGTATTATTATGCAGATAAATGCTTTAAAAATGCTCTAACAGCACAACTGTGATGCAGAGTTCAAGGACTCTAGCAAGCTCAGATGCACCTGTCAGTCTAAGAGTTATGTTTATTCAAGCTTTAACACTTAATAGAATTTCAGCAGTTTTGTTATGAAGGTGGAAACTCTCCATAGAGGGTTTCATTTCTTATAGCTGCCTGTAAACGTGTTTATTTCTCCTGCAGAGTCTCATATTTTAACTAACTTGGTTTTAAAGCGTGCCTCAAGTGGACACTAGTGGTACTGCAGGCATCATTTTTCATGAAGGTGGAGAAAAGAGGCAAATGTCTTGAATTCTAAACAGGATGTAATTCTACCTCCAGGGAGTCATTTATGCCTCATCTGAGTGCTTCAGTTTGATTTTCTATTTAAGGACACATCAAGCTGACTGACTTTGGGCTCTGCAAAGAATCGATTCACGATGGATCCGTCACACACACCTTCTGCGGCACCATCGAGTACATGTGGGTAAC